GCTCGCGGCCCCACCCTGGGCTGCGCAGCCAAACTGTCGGGGTTCTGCTGCGTACCTGTGCCGCTGCGGTTCAGTCTGGGCCATTAGCGTAGATACTCTGCTGTTCCCTGCAGGGAGTGGAAACCTAGCAGCAGGGCCTGCACCAGATCTGTCAGAGCTCGCCTGCCAGCCTGTGCCTACCCTGACCGAGTCAGAACTGTTACAGTGTGTAAATGTTTCCTTTATTTATGATTAGAACTCAACAAAACCACACGGGAAGAGACTGTAGTGAAATGCTGGTAATGGAGAGCATTCAGACCAGGCGTTATAAGGAACAGAGAATAGAGGTACCTGATTTTAAAAGTGGTTAGAAAGAGTTGCTGCATTAAGAGAAAGGGCAGCTGTTGGAATTGGACGGTATTTCCAGAAGCAGTGTTCATTCTCGCAGAGCTGGGAGGGGTTATAGGTGGGTGAACAAACAGGAGGACCTTGTCTTGTTGTTTTATGCCAATACTGAGGCTTCCTGATGGACTCTGCCAGTTGTAAACTGCACCTGAGATTAATATCCTGAAGACAGGTGTGATGACAAGTCATACACCAGGGGTTAGGGCTACTGACTGATCCAAGTGCTTTCTAGAACTCCTGATAATCACTTCAAAAGCTCTACTGCTGGAGAATTCAAAATCAAGCATGTCTGACCTTCCTATTCTGGAAGATACTGAAACCATAGAAATATCTGTCTTCCTAAATCTGCAGCTGAAGAACTCCAATGCTGCTGGTTTTATCAGCAGATCAACATTATACTTAATGCTGTAAAATAGCAGAATTTCTGTGTTTGCATGTTGCAGTTCTTGCCCCTTTCAGCAGCAGTGTCATCATCTGCAGTACTGATTCTTGGAAACTCGAGTTGTTAAATATAGAGGTTAGGAGATTTGGGCAGGCACACGTAGATCATCGATGTCTGTCACCCTACTGCATTGTAAGCCTTAAGCATCCAAAAAGAAAAAATTGTGTGCTGTGTGTCCTTAGCGAGGACGTGGCCTTTCCCTGTGCAGTTGGTAGGAGGCCATCCTCATGCTTTTCTAGCAGCTAGGTGAGATTTCTATTTTAGAATTTTTCCTGTACTACTTGTAACAAGAATCCATTTTGTTTTCATTAGTGAGAGACGGTAACTTTCCTCAATTTTTTATTCTTTCTGATATACTCTTCAAAAGACAGCTGGGGTTTTCTCCATTTTGGGTAATCCTTACTGAGCTTCTGAGTTGTATCATCCTACTGCCACTGTAAATTACTGCACGAAAAAGGATGCAGAGCAATGACACAAATAAGAACAGCAGTGAGCTAGTGTGTTCACCCTCCCAGAAGGTAGAATGAGCTTCTCCTGGGATAATCGTGAGTTCACAGATTGCACACTGCAGGGTACTGTTCTAGAAGGCTGTGCTTGTAAAGGAGAAGTTGCTAGGTGCTGATCGTTGTCTTCCGTAGTAGAAAGACTGGTTGTAGGTGGGTGAAATAGCAACTTGCATCAGAATGAGGCTATGGAAACACTTTCCCTTTTCTTTCTGTTCAGTACAGGTTTAATTCCTTTGCATTCTGTGGCTTTGTCTCTACTGCACTGGGTAATAATGACCTTAAGGGACTGTAAAGTAACAAAGGGAGAAAAAAGTCAAAATTCTTACTCTGGCATATATTGAGGTGTGTGTATGTGTATATACACACATATATATAAAATATATATATTGATTACATATATACTACATATATATATATATAATCCTCAGTCTTGCATATATTGTCTATTAGTCTGTGGCCAGCTGCCTTTTTCCAGCAAGGATAAGGAGCTGATGAGTCTACAGACATGCAACAGGAAACTATTAAATGGTCGTATGAATAGCCCTGGAAGAGAATAATGCTTCTGGGGAGACTGTAATGCACCATGCTAGGAAACGGTCCTGAAATCACGCCATACAGTTTTCTGTGAGAGAGAAGTATTAGCAGGACTGCTCTGAATGTGGCAGAACTTGTTCTAGTGACTGCTGCAGTAGTGCTGATGTGCAACCCCACGTTCAGCTGAGCATCACTGAAGTCTCTGGCGAAGCTTTGGATGACTGAAATGAAGAAGAAGTGAAGCTTAAGTGCAGAGCCCTTTTGGCATTAAGTCTTTCCATTTAGTATTGCACTTAACTAATTTCAGAGATGGGTGTATGAGACTTTTGCTGAAGAGAATGCTCTGAAGACAATGCCCAGATTGTCACAGTAAAATATCCTATCTTGCTGATGGTTGGGGTTTTTTTTAAGATACCTGCTAGTAGTGCAATAGCTGATGCAGGTTGCTGATGGAAGTTTGATGCGGACCCCAGCAAATATTACAGGTATTCTAAAGTACATGAAACATAGACTGATAGAATGGTTTGGGTTGGAAAGATCATCTAGTTTCAACCCCCCTGCCATGGGCAGGGACACCTCACACTAGGCCATGTCGCCCAAGAACATGCATATCAGCATTTGAACATAGTGTTTTATGTATTGATAGTAAAGTTTATGATGTACAAAATACAGCAGCTGGACAGACTAAACATTTACAGAAAACGTACCAAAGACGGAATCTTTTGATAGGTGTAAGACAGTGTGTTCATAGAATGTGGTGATACTTGCGGTGTCCTTTATCTCTTGAGAAATTTAAGGCTGTAGAGTTAACCTGCAGAGAGGAATGACAGTGACTGCTGGGGATAAGAATGCAAAAGGCATGGTGGTGTGAGACTGGTGACCAAATCACCACTGTGATGAAGTAGGTGTAACATTAGTCCCTCAGATTTTGGAGGAGAGGGACAGGAAACTGCCCAGCTGGAATCAAGTGTACAAAACATTGTTCGAGCTCTCGGCAAAACCCACCACAGTAAGAACAGGAGTGTAGCTGGGCTACCTTATCTTCAGCACAGGGAACTGCTATTTTTTACATACCTTGTATCCTTCCCTTTTCTGAAATGACTTAACATCTGCCATTCACATTGAAGAAGAGAATTGCTGCCAAATGCCAGAGGAGATCTGGAATTTGTGCCATTTCTTAGCTTGAGTATCATTCTGAACTTGAAAAAACAGTACAGGAACATTAGACCAGGAAAATTTTGTTACCGGTTTAAATGTAAGATGTGCAGGTCCTTTACTGAAGCAAAAGTGGTATCAGCAATAAGACAAATTATTTAGGTAGCTGGCAGTATTTTGTTTAAATAAATTTCCGACTGCAGTGACAGAGGGGAGCATGTTTATCTGGAATGTTTCAAAAATGATGTAGGCATCAAGGTAATGTGGGTTGTAATACTTTGATATAGATAGTAGTGATTATAATATACAATTATAATATATAATTATACTAATCAGCTCAACTGTATGTTTTTAATAGCTCCTTATAGCCACAATGGCAACATCATCTGAAGAAGTGTTACTGATTGTAAAGAAGGTACGTCAGAAGAAGCAGGATGGAGCTCTCTACCTTATGGCTGAAAGGATAGCATGGGCACCTGAAGGCAAAGACCGATTCACAGTCAGCCATATGTATGCAGACATAAAATGTAAGTGAACACTTTCCCTATTCCAGCTTCAGTAAGCAGTATTTAGGTAAACATCTAAGTACAACCCAAAGCATATTTGCCATAAAACACTGGTGGATAGGTTAGGAAGGTTGCAAGGGTCTGAAGCTTTGGCTAGGTTATTCTGTGTAGCAGCAGAGGTCAGGACCATGCTGAAGTATCACCCGATTTATTAAGGATGCTACTGCAGAACTTCTGTAGTCTCCAACTGTTTAAGTTATACTTCATTTACTATTAATTTTTGATAAACTTCTGCAATAAATTGAACAGAGAAATAATCCATGCCATATGCTTGTGGAGGGAAGGGTGGGAGGAGGGTTAAGGAAGAGTATAGGCTTTTCAGGGTCTAACACAGAAGCTATCTGGCATGTCATCTGTTAAACTATGCATCTAAAGCTGTTCCAGTTTTCATATAAAATGAACCTCACTGTTTTATTTTCATCCAGCAGACCATAGCTTCAGAAGCACTAGCTTCTGCAGCTTGGCCTAACTGCTAACATTCTGAAGAAGCGTTTGCTGTTGCAATAGCAGAGTACTTGCAAGTCAAAACTGAACAGTAAATGTCTATAGCATGCTGCCTTTCTGGCTCCAATTAGTGCTCATATTCCATGTGCTGTAATGCCAAAAAAGGAATAAAAATAAAGTTGTATGTGTCACTTGTTAAAGGTTTAGTGATTATTGCTGTTTAAAGTCACATACAACCCATATCAAAAATGTGTGTGAAGAATCAGAACTAATATGCTGTTTTCTTAAATACAAATGTAGTAAGGAGTTTTAAAGCTCTGATCACCTCAGGTAATCAACTCTGTAAAGGTTCTATTTAGATATTTACTTAGACTTCAGCAGCTTGTATTTTAAAAATGTACAGGCATTTTACATTTAAAAATGTATAGGCATTGAAGTCTTAAATGAAGGATGCTCTTTTTTTCATCTGAAATTAAAAAAGGTGGGAGGAAGGTATTTGTAAATTTGTGATAGGGATGTGGTGACACATCTGGTTCCTGTCTCCCAGTTGCACTGGAGAAAGGGGTAAGATTCAAAGTTAGGTTAGTGCCATTTGCAGTGCTACACTGAAGTCAGTAGAGCACAGCAGTCCATAAAAGCAATTGTTCTAGCCTCTGCTCCCTCTGGTTATGAGAAAGGAAGCAAGAGTTAGGGGTTTTCTTTATGAGTCATGAGGGTGTAATAGCACCTTGGAGGCATTGGTGATTGACTCTGGGAGTACTAGTAGCTAGATGTGCTTACCTCACCACTTCAGACCAGCATACCTTTGCTGTCAACAGACATGCTGTTACCCCACCCTGCATCTGCTTTCTTACCACTTTTCTTCTGTGGGAACTGATCCAGCTGGAAAAACAAAAGGCAGTCACTTTTCAGTTGATTGGTTCCTTGGTTCAGCTTGTTGCACAAACACTAACTTATAGAAGAAAGGCAGCAGGAAGAAGTGGAAAGGAGGAATGAGGTTGTCACCTTGCAGCAGCAGTGTGGACTGGTACTAGGTTAAAGTGTCCTGGTGATGGCAATCTAATTTGCAGCAGTTTTCTAGTGGAAGATGTGGGGAATGCAGAGATGAATGAGGTCTCCTGAGCAGTAGCTGAAGGATGCTGAGCAGTAGACTGCTGGTGTCTGTGTCTTGTGGTTTAGAGCAGACAAGGTCCTGGGTTCAAACTAATTTAAGAGGAAGACTGTCCGTTCCACTTTTATGGCTGGAATTCACACACACGATAATGGTATTTCATTGGATGATGAGGATAACTGCTTATAAGCAAATACTCTAGGGAAGAGAGTTCCTTGTATAAGCTTGCTGTCTGTTGCTAATTAATACTCTCTGTGTAATCTAGGCCAGAAAATCAGTCCAGAAGGTAAAGCTAAAATTCAGCTTCAGCTAGTGTTACATGCAGGGGACACAACCAACTTTCACTTCTCCAATGAAAGCACAGCAGTGAAGGAGCGAGATGCGGTAAAGGATCTTCTTCAACAACTGTTGCCCAAGTTCAAAAGGAAAGCTAATAAGGAACTTGAGGAGAAGAACAGGTAAAGGGAACGGAGCCTTTAATGGTTTTGTTTGTTTGTTTTCTTTTTCTTTTTTAAATTGTTACCTAACTGTAGTGTATTTTTGCTAAGTTTTTATTGCAACGTTGTTAATGATACAGCATTCGTTTCCCTAGTATAAACCTCTCTGTTTCCAATTTAGAGGCAGTTCATTAAGAATTACATAACTGTGACATGTTGAGACTATACTTGTGCTCTCAGTGACATGTTCTTGAGGTGTAAAGGCAGCCAGCCTGGCTGCCACCCAGTCTTTGTTATCCATGGCTATAAGACGAAAGCACCCAACCAGCAGTCTGTCTCTTTAGTCTGTTAAGTATGTACATATCAGCTGGAAAATCTACTTGAAAGATCTTTTTTTTTCCTCTTTTCCAGAAGTTGCCACCTTCTTTGATTTGTAATTTCCTCCCCTCCCTGTATGACCTCTTTCCCCTCAAATCTTCCCTGGTGTTTTATATGCTATACTAAACCGCTAGGTATTTTCATGCTGCATCACTTGGGATGCAGTAGTTTGTTACTTGGCATACAGGATGTTTATTCTAAAAATGTTTTGAGAAGATGTTCAGGACTGAAGTCCTTTTCCCAGAAGGGCTTTTAAGATATGCTTCTGTTCCTTTAAAATGCTTGTGTTAAACCAGTCCTTGTGGCCATAAAGCACACTTACATTTCTCTGCATCTCCCCAGATGAGTTTCACTTTATTCTTGCATCTGCTGTGAATCCTCTATCTACTCCCTTCCATTTCCAGAGACTGTTCTAGCTTTGAACTTATGTAAGTTAAAACTAGGGGGTTTTTTTAAACCTAGGAGCATTGCCTCATTGAGCAGATCAGATCTTTACAAGATTTCCCAGCAGAAGGGCAAGAGCCCTTGTGCAGGAGCTCTGACGCATGCAGGATTAACTGTTTCCAGTACTGCAGCGACCACAAGGATGTACAGCAGTGCAGACTGCATGGCACTATCACCATACTAGTTTCTTTATACTATGTGCCTTGTTTCTAACACTTTTGATGCTGAGTGTATGGGCAGTCTTAGCACTGAATCTTTGTATCCTTAAATGAAGTTTTACAGTATTATGCCATGTGGCAATATAAGCTTTTCTAGTTATAAGGAAGCTAGAATCTCTGCACACACTATGTCATAGTCTGTTACTTTGATGATTAGAAGTCCAAGTCTAGTGGCGGGGCTTCATTAGCTTAATTTTCAACTGAAAGGCAAAAAAAGTTTCAACTTGTTCTAGAAGGATACTACATCCAGAGTCCCTGTGGCTCTTCCTCCATTTATTGATATGTAGGGGCCAGGTATGTACCAATATTCCAAGTTTTAATGAAATAATTGAAGTAAGACTGCTTCCTGCTGCACTAATTGGTAAGAATGGTCACTAATCTGTATTTGTACCAACAAGAAAAACTGGAAAAACCTTGGTGGTTAAAATATAATAGGGATGTCCTGTACAAAGTTTTCATTTCCACCTCATTCTACTTCATCCTTAGAGCAGCTACAGACTTTCATTTGGTCCAGGCTGCAGTTTATCCATGTTCTTCCCTAGACCATTTACTAGGTATTCGTAAGATTCCTATTTTTTGTTTGTTTGTTTGTTTGCAAATGATCAAGACCCTTAGGTACAGGCGGAAGATCATTGAGGTTATTGGCTGATTATGAACACACATGCATGTTTCCCTGAAAATAGCTTAGTGGGTCTCAAATCAGGTACACAGCTGTCTGAAAAGCTGCTTAAACATGAATTAAGTTTCAGGTGCATACATACATTCTTTGCATTTTGAATAGTAAGGGTGATACTTTATATTTGGATGATAACTTTTGCAAACATTATTCCCTGGTGGGAATAGTGATGCTGAATGTTTCTGTAGTACTTGTGGTGCATGTAGTAGTTGAGTGATGGAGATCCTACTGTCACCAACAGAAACACAGATGAACAAACAACTCAGGATAATACATGTTTTAAGGTATCTTATCTCGCACATGTTGCTATCTGTGCTCTTGCAATAGAATAGAGGCATGTAGCTACTGAATTTTAAGATATTAAACAGGAATTGGACAGTGCTGAAATCTCTTCCTGCCCCATGAGACCATTGTTACAGAAGTTCAAGAAATGTCATTGTGCTTTTACAGTTCAGGAGACTCCAGTCCTGGATGTGCAAAGACACAAGAGCACCACCGAATATTACGATAAGATGTTAATCCCATATTAACTTTTTCCTAGGCATTATTGTTCTCTAACATTTAATACTATTCTTTAAACATTTCTTTTTAGCCCTTTCTTAAGTCTTTTAGGACAAATACAGCTATTGAGGTTGTTTGCTTACACAGTCCTGTAAAGAAATGCACAGCATTTCCAAAGAAAAGTTGTTTTCTGTTCCTTTTGTGGACTCATGTTAGTTATGGAAATCCTAGTGACTTATTCTGCAGTGTTTCAATTCTATTCAATACGTTCTTTTACCAGAATGCTGCAAGAAGATCCTGTTTTGTTTCAGCTCTATAAAGACCTTGTTGTGAGCCAAGTAATCAGTGCTGAAGAATTCTGGGCCAACCGCTTAAGCATGAATGCAGGGGATAATTCTACAGCACCTAGTAAGCAGGATGTGGGCATCTCTGCAGCATTTCTGGTACGTCGAGCCTTTCTAAAGGATTTTAGAGCAAACCAATTGGGGAAAGTGACAGTTCTGTTCATGTACTTTATTCCTGTATACTTTAATATTGTTCTTTCCTGGTTCCTCCATGTATTTCCACACATTGGCTAGACTATTGCAAGTGTAAAGGAGAAAAAAGAACAGAAGTAAAGGTTTGAGGTTGCAAATATGCAACCTCAGCATTTTGTCAATTTAAGCCACTCAATTTGAAGTTTGAATTGACAATAGGCAGTTGTTCTTTGTGCTTCTGCCTTCTGTAAAGCGGGAATAACGGTGAACTTAGTCAGTAGGTTACGTGTATTAACTCCGTAAGTTAAAAAGAGTATCTCTGCTGCAGTATTGACATACAGGAATGAAGCTGCAGGGATTTTCCACACAAACCGTTTTACTCTCTCCCCGGTTTTTCTTAAACCGGTACATGCTTTCAGGTACTTGAAGAACAACTTGTATATGAAAACCTGTTTTCTCTTTCTTTTCCCATCTTTGTTACGTTACCAATTTGTAGAAACCATGCCTCTGTAATCTCAATGCAGTTTAAAAGTAACCTAGGTACAATCTCCAGATTCTTCCCACAGATATATTTCTACTTCCGCGACAAAATGAATACATACTATGATTCTTTAGTGGGAATCCCATCTCCACCTTTGTAATGAACTGCACACACGTCAAGGGTTTGGGAGGGAAACAGGAGGTGGGAGCAGCTTTATGACTTAGCTGCTGCACTTGTTTTTTCCCCCCTAGAAACACCTGAATCATTTACCAAATGAACTTGATGGCTCCAATTTCCTGTCTCCCGTTATTCTTGCACCTTGACAGTAAAAAAACAAACCACCACACCCACAGAGGCTTTCAAAACCAAAACTTTCTTAAATAACTGGTTGTGTTTGTGTACTCTGTATTTGTGAAAAAAAAAAAATTTCATATATTTGTGTGTGCTAGTTCAAGTTAAAATAACTGTCTGGCTCTGCTCAGAATGAGTGTTTCTCTAGGAAGAAGGTGGGACAAAACCTAGAATTTAGATGTACAGGAAAAGGAAGAAAAGAAGGCAGCTTATGCGATCATGTACTTTTTCCTGTTACTGAGAATTGGCCTGAGCACCTGCTTACTCCAGAGCTTCCTAAAGAGATCACTGAGATCTAACTTGCAAGTTCTGACTGAGGCTTACGCTCAATTTCTAAATTAATTGCTATTTGTCAGTTACACCAAGATGCTTTCAGTGTGTAAGCAAATAAGGTGTGAGAACCATAAATCCTTTTTTGTTACTTCATTATCATCACTGATTATTCGCGAGCTGAATTCTTGCATGAACAATAATAGATTAGACGTATACAGTTAACATGCCTATTTTTACTGTGAAACAAGGATATATTAAACTAAGCACACCTTCTTTTGACTGATAGAATGGTCTTTGCTTTTCATCTTCTAAAGCTTACAAGCTACTTGTAGAATTTTGCCTTTAAGTTGCAAATGTAGTAATTCTAAAAATACCTATTTATAATCAAATATGCTATGGATTATTGGAGGAAGAAGATTACTTTATCTGCAGCAGAATTTGACTGCAGGATGCCAGTTTTTTTCCTTCTCCAGTTACAGAGGCATTCAGACATGACTGGTTTTCCTCCCCGTATGCTTTTTCTTAGGCTGATGTACGGCCTCAAACAGATGGCTGCAATGGTCTGAGGTATAATTTGACTTCGGATATCATTGAATCCGTATTTCGAACATATCCTGCAGGTAAGAATAGTGCTTTATGTAACAAATACATGCATTTAAGATTTGGTTTGTTTGGGTTTTTTATGATCTTGCTGTGGGAAGACAAGAATGTTAGTCTGAGCCTGGAAATACTAAGCACCATATATTCAGTCTTCTAGATGATTTTCCCTGCCTTGTTTGAGGGATGGGAAGAAGCATGTGTTAAAACATGCTTTTGAAATGAAAATTTGATTTTATTAAATGAAAATATTTTAACTTGTGCATTGAACTTTTAGTTGTTTGGTTTGTTGTTTTTTTTAAATTGTGAGTAGGTATTTGGTTCTCATGTACTCTCCTACTCAGAATTTCAATTAATTGTTATTTTTCATGGAATCACCTTTGGAAAGAAAATATTCTGATTTCTGTCATACCCTTCACTATATTGAATTACTAGAACTCTGGCAAATCAGACTTCTTGTGTGTGTGCAATTCAAATTAGAGTATTCAGACCACTGTTATTTATGTGCATTTATTTCAAAGCATTAGCTAGCATTGCAGGGCTAAAAGGAGTACCTGTTTGCTCATGCTTAACTACTGCATTCCCTTACGTTTAGTTGAAATGAATGAAGGCAGCATTAGGCAAAAAACAAGGAAGCAAGCAAGGAAATTTTAGCGTAAAATACCATACTGAGATTTGCAGAACAGTTGGCAATCACTGTGGTTTTTGTTCACAGTAAAAATGAAATATGCAGAAAATGTTCCACATAACATGACTGAAAAGGAATTCTGGACACGATTTTTTCAGTCTCATTATTTCCATCGGGACAGGCTCAATACAGGCTCTAAAGACCTCTTTGCTGAGTGTGCCAAACTGGATGAAAAAGGTAAGCTTTTTGACTTTGTGCAATAGGCTGCAACAGTCTTAGCTACCTCATAGAACCCAATACTCAAGAGGTCTGTATAGACCTAACAAAGCTGAAGTCAAGTTTTCTTACATTTGTTTACTAGGCATGTTGTTTGTCAAACTGTGAAGTGAAAGGTACAGACGGCCACTGAAAGTTAGCTATGGCTTTCCTATTTTTAACATGTTTCATGGAGAGTGCCTTTCTGGAAACAAAGTAGTCTTTGGAGAGTGGTAGCACTAGAAACCAGCTTTATTGCAACTCATGCAACAGAAAATCTGTGATAAATTCTACAATGTGCTGTCATGTTAGATTGATTATTCTGTGCCATCAGTTCCTGTGAAATAATTTTGTTTACATAAGGCTTCATTCTGTGGTATGTGCACATATCACAGAGCACTTAGAGCACATACAGCTTTTGATAGATCAGGTTTTAGTAATAGACAAATATGGATCTCATTTAAAATTTTCCAGAGGAGTTGCCATCCCTGTTCTCTGTCAGCCTTTTTCATGTGACATCTTAAATACCATCTGACATAAGTTTTTACTGAAGTTTTGAGGCAGGTTTGTCATGATACAGAAATGTGCAGAGTTGAGATCACTTAACACCATTCCTTGTTATGTATTCTGACTAATGAAGTCCATAACCCTACACAAGTAAAAGCTATCACCAGATATAAATTGCCATTCTGCCAAAGACAAGGCAACAAAACTGTGCAAAATCAGAAGAAATCCAACTAAGGCTTCCCAGTTCCCATATTAATACAACTATGTAACTACTAACTAATATAATACTCAATTTTATTTATGTTTTTTTACCAAACAGTGATGTGTAGAAGTTGCTGAAAGCTGTGCTAATTAGTAGGATGATCTTTAACAATACCTTTCCAAGTCTATTGCTTGTTTTAAATGTAACTCTGAAAAGGGTTGAAAGCTTTAGTCATGCTGATACTTGGGGATCTGCAGAACCTTTGTCTTCTCCTTTAAAATTTAAATATAATCTAATAATCCCTATTTTAGATACAGGTTTTCATTAATTTTTCTTTGTTTTATACAGGGTTAAAAGCAATGGTGTCTCAAGGAGTAAAAAACCCCCTGATAGATTTAACAGCTTTGGATGATTACACATTAGATGAAGTAAGTAGTCGGCGCAAAAAAAAAAACAAACCAAAAAAACCAAACCAAAAACCCCCACCCAACCCCCACCTTAGTTTCATTTAGGAGAAAAGAGGATCCCTCTCCTGTTAAAGTAACTACAAATGCTAATTCTAAAACACATCACTGACTAGGCTTCTGCAATGGTTGGGTTGTCAACATTTACACAGTTGTATGTGTGTGTGTAAAGAAACAGAGACTCTGCCCATGGTCCTGTATGTCTTATGCCTGCCTTAGTGTGCTGGCTATAAAAGCAGGAATTCCCTTTTTTTAAAGAATTATTATTTCACTTGGACGTTTTGGTTTGGGTTTTTTGTCTGAAGTGGACTCTCTGTTTTCTTCCTACCTTTTAGAAGCTGTGACAATGTACAGAGAGTAGCACAAAACAGGAAAAAGTCTTTGCATTTGTTCTCATTTTAAACATGGCTGTTTGCTTGATTCAGCTTAATTTTAAGGACACTTTATACAGTTTTCTTTGTTTAGCTTTAAATACCATCTTTTGCTAAATATATGACCAACTTGAACTCTTCCATGATTCTGTTATCTGCCTCCAAGTACAAATTAAAACAATTGTTATAAATGGTGTACCATAATGTGGAATAACCTAAAAACACGCTTTTCTGCAGTTGATCTAACTTAAATTTTGGAGTTTTAATTAAGATGCTGCATTTCTAAGTTGGTTTTGTTTTTTCTAAGAGCTGTGCAAAGCTAACAGTTAGAAACTGGACTAGGAGCTAAGGCTAGGTATGTTTGAATTGCTATGCAAACTGCCCTTGGTTTTTTTTGAGGCCAGTTAACTGCAAGCATGAAACTGCGCATGGGGCAAAGCGAGTTGCCTTCAGCGCCCTGGCAGCCAAGGAACACTGCTAGTATTAAGGCTTGAGGTTTTTTGAAGTTCTAGTGGTATCGTGTCCTCCTGAGAGGTGTCATTTAGCCTGTGGGCTGATGGTGTCCCACAGGCTGTTAAAAAGAGGTCAATAGCTAGCTCTTATTTGCCATCAGTGCCTGTGTTTCATACAGGTGATCCTCACATTTTTAAGCCAGTTCTAGTTTTACTTATAACTAGACCACAGTCTTAAAAAACAGATTTTTTTTCTTCTCTCAAGACAGCTGAACTGCCCAGTGTTAGCAGATTTTTCAAAGTACATAATGTGATGGTGGAGGAAGGCAGAAAAATACTGCTTCACATGATGAGGCAGTATCACCCAGTAGAGCTCAGAGGAGGTGACATGCAGGATTCCTGACTCAGTGAAAAACAGAATTTTCCTTCTGGCTTTGGGGCAGGAGGTAGCTAATGTTGTTTTCTTTGTAGGAATATGTTGCTTCTATGGCCTCTACATCAAATGCCTCAAAATCTGCTAGAGAAAGTAGCACCACTGCCATTATAAAACGCTTTAATCATCATAGTGCCATGGTCCTTGCAGCTGGCCTCAGGAAACAGTAAGTTTCACTGTTGTGTAAAAGCTGGTTTGTAACAAATTTTAAGGAATTTCTAAAATGAAAATAAGTCCTTAATTATGCATCCAACCTTTTCTTGTAATTTTTGTGAATGAAGTATTCACTTTAGAAATGAAAATACCTTTAGGTTCCATTTTACTTTATAAAAGTTCTTCTGAGATGACAAATGATAATTTTAGCTGGGTTACTACACAAAGCAGATGAAAAAAGGAAAGGACGTTTCTGCCTTAGTTCTCCAGCCCTGGTGAAGGCTGCAGAAGTAGTATTCCATTTGCTATGTGGAGGGAAGGTCTGGCATAGGGAGTTCCTATTGCCTGCCTTCCAGGAGCAGGTTTGCTCAGGCTTCCTGTAGTGGGGTGCATGGACGTAAGTGAAGGAGGAAGCAAAAAAACAGTGTGGCATAGGTGGATCAGATGAAAGATTTCTCTAGTGCAGTACCTTGCCCCAGACTAAAAAGAAAGAAGAGAATAACCAGGTGGTTTAGTATATTTGCAGTGAAATTCACAAATGAAACTTCTTAGAAAAGGAATGAAATGGGTTTGATGTGAAGTCTGCTTTACAAGTGATTTATAGACAAACACCAGAGGATTACTACTCTACCCAAATCCTGCAGACCTTATTTGTGATAAATCCTAATACCTTCTCTGTAGCTGTCCTCCGTCATGTTGTTATTCTGTCTAATTGAATGCTGGATCTTCAACAATCTCTTCCATGTAATGCGTGTTCCAGCTCAGAAAGACAAAACAATAGCTCTCATTCTGCAACAGTTTATCTCCCATATCTCTGCTAACACCTGGTTGACTTAAGTGTGTATGCAAAATGTTTCTAATTTAGTTATGATTTTGCTGTGTCCCACTTGCATTGCTGGCATTTCTGAGGAGAGGGAGAATCACCCTCCCCTGCTGTTGAATTTCCCTCCTGACAAACACGGTTATTTGAGGAGCTGGTTCTTTCTATCTAGATCAACTGCTAGAACTGAAGATGTAAGGGGGGAAAAAAGTTGACATACAGTATGTGAACATGCATATAAAGTTTTTGAAACGGATGTATTTACTTTGCCTCTAGCTTGTATCTTAAGTTTCCTGTGAGGTGAATTCTTCTTAATGCTGTTTCTCTATTTTAAGAGAAGCACAAAATGACCATTACAGTGAGACCAGCAGTACGGATGGAAACTCCAGGGATTCAGATTTCTTTCAGCCACCAATTAAAAAGGTATAAAGTTAGCTGATGCAATTCTAATTGAATGAAACTGGAAGCTGTCTGTCAGAAAGTTACCAAAGGTTCCTTACTTGTTTTATCATGCATCTAACACAATTTGGCTTTGCTTAGAAGTACATAGAATAAGAACCTGAGGGCCTGTAAGAAGTTTTGTACTCTGTTAGTAAACACAAATAAATTACATCTTGAAGTATTGCTGTTTATCTTTTCAGTAGTGCTTAACAAAAGTAAAAGGTTTCCAAGATGCTTCTGATTGGACCCCGATATCTGGTTCTTTCCATACAGCACAGTTCTAGTTTTGCTTCACCCCCCTTTTTCTGGTTTTTCTTTCCCCCAAATGCTGGAACAATTCTAGAGAACATCCATTTGAAAGGGACATTGGTGTTCAAGCACCAATATTAACTTATCAAATGTATCATTTGTAAAGGGCATGATTAAACTGGCACATTGCAGCCTTCATCTTAAGGTCATAAGCTGAAGTGAAGTTAAACTGAAAGCATAGTGACACCTGGTACACTGAAATATGGGGCAACAGCTTGTTTTGGGCTATAGCAGTGTACAAAGTGGAAGAGAGTATTGTAATTGCTGCAAAACTGAGTTGAATACTCTTGCTAGAGTTGACAGCCCAAATAGAACATGTCAAGGGGATTTAAAACCTGCGTATGTTGTGAGAGAAGGTGCTAGAATACACGTTATTAAATGTAGTTAATCAACCGCTTTGACTTTCCTGAAAACTGCAATTTTTACTGAAAAGGGAATGCTACACCAGGACTAGAATAAATGTGATGAAAAGAGGAGAGAGTAGGAGACTTCAAAAATAGTTTTCTCAGTGTACAAAGTCTAACACCACTGTGCTGTTACCTCTCTCCACTAATGCTGTAGCTCTACAGACAACAGATAGCTTGTGTAATTATGAGGGGTTTAGTCCTACACTCCCGTACACTGTCTAGTCTTACACTCCTTACAGCCATTAAAGCATTCCTGTTTCTGCTAAACTGGAGCTAGACGGACATAGCACAAAGAATGATCTGTATAGAGTAGAACATGTTTTGAAGTGGCAGGGACTGCACGTTTTGGCCAGAACCTGCAGGAAAAGCTGTAGTGCCAAGATTTCCAAAGTGCACTCTTTAAGCACTGTTGGGCACTGCTCCCTCTGGAGGGTAGACATGAATCCTTCCACACTTTGGTTTTCTTTAAAGTTTAGTAACTCTACTGCTCAAACTCAGTGGACTGGAAAAAAGCACTGAATGCATCAAACTGTATCCTCATTAGTGATGTGTATAATTGTTTGGCTTATTTTAGGTAAAACTGCAGGAGGCCATTGAATATGAAGATTTATCAAAGAATAATAGCATTAAAACTATTGCACTAAACTTGAAGTCTGATAGGTAAGTTAAAATACACACGGCTGTTTTGGCATATTCAGTACAGAAGGTCTCTTATCACAGCCTGCACAGAACCAGCTGACTTAGTCTCTACTGTGCCACATTCAAGTGTGTTCAGGCTAAGTTTAGAAACCCAAGATGAACTCCTGCATAAACTAGCTTCCAAGTAATTCCAAATAAGTTCATATTTTTAATTCATCTTGCTTTTCAGCAAGCCAAGTCTCTGTAAGCCTGCTTGAAGAGCTTTGACCTGTAATTTCTGTGAAAGGCTAAGTGACCTGCATTCACAGTTAGCACTTTGTTGCAGCTTACAGTGGGAAAATGTGTTACATGGGAAAATATATTCAATTCCAAGAAATATCAATTCCCAGGAAAAAAAAAAAGTGCAATTGGGATAGTTTGGACTGCTTGTTGGTCTGTTTTTGTAGTAATAGGCCTTGTGTTTTCTAGACTTTTGAGTTTGAAAGCCATAAATGTAACTTCAGAAAAGAAGTGGTACTACGGGAAAGAAAACAATTCCAGACATGCTTAGTTTCAGTCCAAAGTGGCATGAACTCCTCCGGTCTAATACTACTTCCAGAACTCAGTGGCACAGACAGCTTCTTATTAGCAAAATGATGCTCGCAGATTCGACAACAGAAGCTCTTATTTTGCTGTTATACCACCCCTGGCCCAACTTCTTCCCATGCAGCAATGTATTTTACTTTGTCAGTAAAAAAGGTTTAGAGAGGAATGTCCACAGTTAAAAAGCTTCTAAAACTGGAAACATTTGAAGAACTGTCCACCGAGTTTGGCCTCTGTTTTACCAACACTCCTATTAATACATTTATCTTTTCTCACCTCACAGGTATTATCATGGTCCAACTCCAATTCAATCACAGCAATATGCAACCAGTCAGGATATAATTAATTCTTTTAATAGTATTAGGCAAGAAATGGAAGCATATGTACCCAAACTAACTCAGGTATGGAAGAATACTCGAAAAAAATACCCTTCTTGATGTTAGCATATTGCTTTCTGTGTAATTTTGTGCCTCGTGTCTACTGGAATTTTAATTTTTGAGGGCAAATTTAATTGATAGTTTTATGTTATTCAATTTATTTTACAACTTTAGGCAATACCTTTTGAGTTACTGAGTTTAAAATCTAAACAGTAGGAAACTGAATCAGTCATTGCTGATACTCTGAGTTATATTCTACTGTTACCGTGTGCTTTGAGGAAATGGTAAAAGGTATAAAGTAGTAAAGCAGGACAGTCATGCAACGTGAAACACAGGCCAATATTATTGATCCCACCCCCTGAAATTTAGTATGTAATGGTCTTAAGAGGTCAGTAGTAAGCAGATTTATAACTGAACAGGTCTTTTGCTCCTGAATGCACTTAGGTAGTAGGATGTAGATCTTGCTGTGGGCTACACAGAAGCTGTCTTCTGGTAACTGGAGGGCAGCATAGCCAGGTAGCCAATTTCCTCAGCCGATACCTAACTTTCTCAGTTAGTAAACCCAGATTTGGCCTGATGTAAAGCAGCCACGAATGCAAATATGTCACATTTCTGTACAGTAATTCTCTATCTCATTTCAAAGTAGCTGCATAGCCAGTTCACATGCTAGGTAAAGAAAAGGTTGGTTTGTCTGTACCTAATTGGAGACCTTTCACTGAAAATGTGAGCTTACAGCACTTGAAGGTACTGAGCAGATTGTTCGTTAGAACTTCCATTGTATCTGTTCAACTGTATCTTTGCCATTGGAGTTCAATTACAATTATTTTCAAAAAGATTTCGTTGGAGAAAGTGATAAGAAATAATTGTTCCCTCTGTCCCTTCAGGTCCTTTCAAGTGCTGATGCTGCTAGCACTATTGCAGCCCTGTCACCTGGAGGAGCACTTATGCAGGGTGGAACACAGCAAGCCATAAACCGTAAGGATTTAGGACATGTAATACTTTAATCATGTCTTGTTGCTTTATACAGCAGTACCTGGCTTGCTATTTCATCTGCCGCTTAGAGTGTTACAGTGATAACGGGATTTATGGAAGCGTGTAGCTGGAGTAGCAGCGGGCTACAGTAACAAGCAAAAAGCAACAACCCAGTCACACCATGAGGGTGGTACTGGCTACACCACTGCTGAGGCAAGGGAATGAGAGAAAATTGTACAAAGCAAGTGATGAAGGATGCACTTGGTATCAAGTCCTTTTATAAATCAACCACCCCAACCCCCACCACAACCCGA